GACGAGCGGCTTAACGTCTATGAACAGGAAGTCTCGTCTTTACTGTTCCCTCGTGGAGCGAAGACGTCATCTCTGTGATCCCAGAAGAAGGCAGGAACAAAGATCACTGTCACATCGACCAGTTTCAGCTCTCAGCGTCGATAATAAACTCAAGTTAAAGCAAAACAACAATGTTGCAGAGAACGTGGTCACATTAAAGCCAATCACCTACACGTCTGTGGGTCATGTGATAAACTACAACCATGCTGGTCAGATGTTGCCGAGCTGATAGATGGATCCACAGGTCTTACACCTTGGTCTGATCCCAGAAGGTACGATTAAAAAAGAGAACATCTACATGTTTAAAATAATGACTGTGGCTGTGAAGAAAGTTATCACAAGAAGTGGCTGAAAAAGGAGTCGCTGAAAGTGAAAAAATGGAGGAGATGAACTGAAGTTTCTACGACGAATCAGACTGGATGCTTCAAATGGAAATGGTGGAAATGGACACTATATAAAGACCTCGACTTAAATGTTTGAGAACTAGCCCGATGTGTGTTTTTATGTCTCTGTCCCATTCCTGTTCATCTTTTATGCTGTCAAAGAGACAAAATAACGAATGGGAAAAATACATGAATAAATAAAGCAGAGAGGATGCCGTTCTCCACAACCCAAATTGGAAGCTGATTCCACAGGAGAGCAGCCTGATAGCTGAAAGCTCTGCTTCCCATCCTACGCTTTGTTTTATGCATGTTTCATCACAGCCTATTTAAGAAAAAGGCACTGAAATTTCGCCAAGGTTCATACGTTGTTTTATACGACATTCACCAAATAAATAAAGTGAAAAACACAAGAGCTCGGTGGTTCGAGGAGAAGAAAACAGAGAGAATTCTCCTAAATCAGCCTTTCAGCCTCGGAGCCCAAACTTCAGCTCTGGTTTAGCACAGAACAGCCAATATAGAGTGGCAGATTAACTGGGCAGCGTGAACAATCAGGGACATTACTCCAAAAAGGCTGAGTGACCACAAATTGGCCATTGAGACAAGTTGTCACAGAAAAACCTGGCAACTTTGAGAAAACAGACTGAGTCAGTGCTGCCAGCAGCACGATGTAGAGCACAATGATGAACTGCAGCCTGCATGAAGAATCAAGGTCTTTAACAAAATAAGAGTCAGTCACAGTGTGACACACTCAGAGAGGGGGGAGGAGCAACCATAGCAACAAATGAACTTTTAACGAGCGTGGCCTCCAAATCTCTACCACCACATGTAAGTGTTACGCTTTACCTCACAGAGGTTAATCACGTGCACGTGACCTGATCTGCTGTTATCAGTTTATAAAGGTGTAATAGAGCTGTTAGTAGTAGCAACTATAGAATAGAATAGTCCTTTATTGTCAGTGCACACGTATGAACGCTGCACGCCAACCGTGCAGGACTTTCAAAAACATAATTAGTAAAGACATCGGGAATAAGTATAGCAGAATATAATATAATATTATATAACTTTTTAATGAAATATAATGTCATTAAAAATGTACTACATGTATCACGGCACCACAATAATAGCTAGCTTCACAGTGAGAGTTCATCATTGTGTATTCCAAACAGCTTCCTGCATTCGACTGTACGAACACGCTGGCTGCATAAATGCATTCATTTATTAATAGTGCTCTATGCTAACGAATGTGCCTCCATGCTCGTCTTCCACTCGCAGCATGAACAAAAAGCAAACCTGCTCAGCAACACAGTCAGTTAATAACAAATAACTTGCTCGCAGCAAAAACACAAACAAGCCTCACTACTGACATCACTGACGAAGACGGCAGCCATGTTGGATCGCTGCTATGCTGGGTATCAGTTTAGCTTGTAGGCTAACATTAGCTGATATTTGACAGGTGAAAACCTCAGATGTGTTTCTGCATTATCATTATTATCACTACAGAGGTTTTCACATCATATCATGTGAACATTGATCACGAGCTCTCCACCATGTTGGATGTGACATCATCACCAGCTGCTACAGACACGTGTATTTCCTGACGTGATTGTTCTGGTTTCTGGAGGTCGTAGTGAAAGCTTTGGTCGCTGGCTGATTGTCACAGCTGCCTGTAGCTGAGCAGGTAGAAGTAAAAGTGCAAAAGTCCATAATGTGATCTTCTATGAGCTTTGCTTTTGCTGCACTGGCAGCTATGCTGATGTTGTTTTTACCTGCTGGATCAAAATCTGTTAGTGACAACGTCACTGACATGTAGACACAAACTGGTTCATCTCTTGAGTTGAGGGATCTTTTTAAGATGGACTCATAACCAGTGTTGGGAAGGTTACTTTTAAAATGTATTCCATTACAGATTACAGATTACATGCCCCAAAATGTATTCTGTAACGTATTC